GACGCTTTAAATTAAGGAAACGAGAAGCGTCAGGATTTATACGACTGTCATCTTGCAGCGGCTGTTCCTAGATATATCTTGTACATCAAGCGGGCTCGTTAAGTAATTAGTTCGAGCAGTGTCAGCGGAATCATGGGATATAATCAAAAGTTAGAAACGCGAGCGATTAATTATTACCTTACGCCGGCTCTCGAGTCGGAAACGTCAGTTCCTGGCCGCCTCTGGATTCGCCAGAGGCATCTACCTACACTAACCACGAGCGCGTTGTCATAACGAGGCATCATTACTGACTATCCATTACACGCGACGGATGTTCACTGAGCGTTATGACACTCAATGAATATTCACGCCCCGTTATATAGCCATTTTATAAACGGCCGCTGCGGCGCGACGGGTGACGCAAGCGAGACCCATATTTAAACGATGGTTTGCATGTCGCGTCGCAGAAATGAGTTCGATTCAAGTCAGTAAGTCCGAAAGTACTACATCAACGTTTCAACATGTTGCGATTACACGAAGAGAATAAAGTATATTTGAAAATTTAGCTATGTACAAATTTGAAAATAATTTACTGTCAAAATAATTATGCAGGATCCTCAAATTGATTGGCTGGAATGCAAAATGGAAACTTTTTTGCAGCAATGTTATCAATGTTTTAGCGTTCTACATAATTATTTTAGTCCAATAAAATTATTGTCAGATCTGTTTATGGAAAAGTTCAGTGAAACGATTTTACTGAAAGATCTAAAATTTTAATAAATACAAATCTGAAAATAATTTCAATGGACCATTGAAATGATTTTGTTAAAAATTCAAATTGGTTGCTAGAACATGAAAATATTTCGCAGCGGTGCTCATTATTTTTTAAATTTCCAACTTAATTATTTCGATGATCCAACAAAATTATTTTCAGATTTATATCCAGCAAAATTTTAAATCTTTCAGTAAAATCGTTTTTTCCGTGTACCTCCCTAAATTTTTCGATACTTCAGCAAAGTCGTCTCTCATCCCTCGTCGTGCTTATCCCTTTCACCATTTTACACGCGTAAAATTACTTGTCGCGTATTTCAAAGTTTGTTACATGCGAAATCTATCATCATGCCCCACATTCGCGTTTTTTTTTTGCTCATCTCGCTCTCACGTGTCCGGTGATTAAAATTAGCATGACTTGTTATTAAATGTTTGAATAAAGCGATCTCTGTCTAAACTGTCTGGACTGTCATAGACTGTCATCCAGCTGTTTTCGATACTTCGAATCAGACCAGAAGAGGAAGTATAGACTTTCACTCTGTATAAATAAAATGATCCAGTCTCGCTATCGTGCATCACCGCCGAGCTTTGGCATATGTGCACGCGCAAATAATAACGCGCACACTTACGCGGTGCGGAGAGTTAACTATTGTCCCGAACCCGAGGAGTAATGTCCCATTGTGAAACGGTTACAATGACGTATCGCCTGTCATCAGTGAAACGACGGCAATTTTATTCCATCCCAGTCGTGTTTAATGACCGTGTCAAAAGAAGCGTGGGGGAGGGAGGGGGGGGGCTTAAGAGAGCAAGGGGGAAGAGTTAAAAATATTAGCATTTCGAGCCAATGCATTTATACGAGACAGTGTCACGATACCACGACGTAAGCGGCCTCGCACCGTGAAATTAACTTGTTCCACTTAAGTCATCGGGCCAGTCGTCGTCGTCTCGGAGACGACGGACACGCTCGCGATGTCAATTGCAGCAAAACAGGTATTCGTCGCAATTTCCTTTAATTGTATCGCATACGGAGCGTAACCGTCCAGTTTTGCCTTTCGGTGCGGCAAATATGTATCGCATACGCGGGTAAACGTGGGGCCGTATCCACGTTATTATACGCGCACCCGTGTTTTATACGTTCCTATAGCCCTGGGTACGTGCGGGCGCAGCAACGAATCACTCACGTTTCCTGTAAATTGCGGATTCATGGTTTATCGGCGTACGGCCGAAACGTTTTACTGCCCGGCGATGCGCGATAACGCCGCGCTGACAGCGAAATGTCCCCGACTAAAATGAATCCAACGAGTACACGCGAGACGCATATGCGGGAAACGTATTCTCTCTCTCGCGTGTGTGTGTGTGTGTGTTTTGTTTTTCCCGAGCGTGACTGGAATATCGGATTTGTCCAGTGACGTAGACGACGGGAAGCATGGAACGAGGGGTCCTGTCGCATTGCCGAGCACTCTCCCCGAAACCGCGGAAGACGACAGTCCGCAATCGTTCGTGCTGTATCCAAAATTCTGCGTACCGCTGCGTTGATAGGAAAGTGACATCTCACAAAATTAATAACTTTTCGGTAGAGCATTTTTTTAAATGGTTAATTGAAATAATGTTTTAAGGATGTTTCACATGTACAAAAATAGCTGAAATTGGAAAGTTAGACTTTCTGTAAAAATAAATATTATATGTATACAATATGAAACAGAGTTCAATAATATTTAAATATTTAACAATACAATTTTATAGTTTAAATGAAAATTTTCTCATTTTATTTTTAATTATTTTTTAAAAATATGTATTTCTTATTGAAGTGATTTTTTTGTTTAGGTTTTAAATCACTACCAAACTTTTTATATTACTTTCAAACGGTATTAAAAAATCTGTATTTTTTCATAATTTTCTTATTTTTCGATTAAAAAATACGTGTAATACATTTTTAGGATAGCGAATACGCAATTTTTATAATTTCAATTTCAATTATAAATATGTATTCCTTAAAACTCTATGTAAATTTTCAAAATTTAATATAAATATTACTAATTTAAAATAAATACTACAACTCTAGTATACATTCTTTATAGTGGTACTTTTTTATATAAGCCAATGAGCTACAAATGTGACATTTTTCTACAAAAATACATTAAGCTTTAAGATCGATTTCCTGTCATTATCTTAAAAATGCTAATTTTTTTACTCGTTTCACTTTTTTATCAACAGCGGCGATATTTTAATGAGGACATAAATCGCAGATTTTCTATGCTAAATAATGTTAAGACGAAGCACAAGTTCAGTATTAATATCCTTCTTAAGTCACTTTAGACACGATAATAAATAATGAGAAATATTTATCTACCTTACGCAAATTACAGAAAGTTATATTTAAATTGAAAGATGACAACTCTGATATATCGCAATCCACGTCGGCACTGAATAGGACATATATTATGATTTCGCTTTTAAGCGAATTTACTTCATTCCGTTTGATTCGCGCGTAATGCTCGTTAATTTAATTTCCAATTAAGCGTATGTTGGTTTCATTAAGGGCGTAACGTGACTCATTAAATGTGATTGCGTGGCATTTATATCCGCGCAGTATTGACAAATATGTGTTATATTCGCAAAGTATTCAGTAAAATAGTAATGCCGCGTATGTACACGATTTGTGTGATGAAGGAAATGAAATTATTTCCCCGTGTAGATATAAAATTTCTTCCTTTGTAAAATTGAGATTCTTTTTCTTCGTTAATCGAGAACACAAACGGACATTTTTAGCAGTAACTGGTACATCATTTTGTAATCCGTCAAGAGAATGTTTGCAGATAAAACGAAGATTGACGGGACAAATCATCAGTAAACGCTTATTATTCAAAAAGGATATTTCGTACCGGAAAACCCATCAAGGCTCTCCGTTGCGCGAGTATATACATATATATCTAAGTGCGCGAATCCTCGTTGGAAGATAAATGAGCCAATCTGTTAAACCCGGTCTCGAGATACGCACGCTCTCGCGTGGCAATTATATACGTTTCCTGAGGTCCAAATTTATTATGTACTAAAACGCCGTTATTGTTGCAAGAAGGCGGCCGTTGAGTAGAAAAAGCTGCCGTTATTAATTCGCATTAGTTTAATAGGTACCCGGGTGGAGGCCGCGGGACCGAGGTACAGGAAGGTGCGCGGTGCGCGCGGCGGAGGAAGGAAGAGGGGAAGGGGAAGGGGGGCAGGAATAAGGTCACGCCAGAAAGTGAGTAATGAAGGCGGTTTATCTCCGAGGAGTAACTAGCGGTGTTCGTGTAATGGGGGCATTCATCAACGCGATCTCACATCGCCTTTCCGTTCGCGTTTCAGAGTCTCATGACGATTTGCGCTACGTACGGACGGTGAGAAACGGAGCTGAAACGATTTCTTTCTGCACGCGCCCCTGGAAAACCCTCGTTGCCACTTTGCCGCGGCAAGATTAATGCCGGTGAAGTGGTGTTTTCGGCGCCATTAATTTTTCTCTCCCCATTTATCAGTTTTAATTCCAGGAGGCCCGGACCCCAGACTACCCCCCCTCTTCATCCGCCGCGTATGACGTATAGGATTAGCACAATTGAGATTATTTTCCGTATTCCCGCAATTTGTCCCATCGGCAATGACATCGGCCCGTCATTTGTTTAATCGGATAATGATAAATGTCTATTTTGGAGATGCAATTAAAGGATTTTTCTCGAAAGCCAAACAAGTCCAAAATGTTTTTCAGAAAACAAAAGACACTTCTCATGCTCGAACTGTCCATTGTACAAATACAGTAATTTTTCTCTGCACATATAATAATGAATGAACAAACAAAATTTTTGAATAATATTTTGAGAACCCATTAAAAATAAATAAACTTTTTATTTGATTTTTATAAAAATATAAGATATTGGATCCAGTATGACCTACCTAAGCTTTGTGATTTTTATTTTAATTAATATTTACTGAGCCCAAAACTGAAAACAAATTCAAAAGAGGAAACATTCTTTAATTCAAAAGAGGAACATTAAGAAAAATATGAGAAGTTTTCGAATATTTACGTAAGTATAAGATTTTTAAGAAAAAAATAACATTTAAGTCATACTTTAGGGAATACATGTATTTAAGTATACTTTTTTCTTTTTTCATAAAAAAAATATTACAGAAATAAAAAATAAAGTGATCTATAATATTACTTTTATAGCATTATAAATTTATTAACATGTTGACATATTTATTAATTGACATAGTAAGAGTACACAAAGAATCATTTTCCAAACAATTGACTTTCTTATTTCCACGATGTTTAGCAATTATATCCATAGTCTGAAACAAAAATACCTTAAAAAAATATCACAATCAATGTGTATACACTCAGTGTGCCTAACTTGACCATATTGCTTCTACCTTACAAAGAATTTGCTCTTTGATAATAAACAAAATGTTATGACTATAAACTAAATACAGTGTTGAAAAATATAATTGCAGAGTAATTACAATAATATGAATTACAAAAATGAATAACTATCTCTTGGCAGTCATAGAAAATGGATTACTTACCTACAAAATGTTACATCAATCATGGCGTTCTGAATTTTCCTTTACTGACAATAGAATTAACAAATTGAGCAATAAATTGATGCAATCGAGTCGGACAGACAGTCTCTGCACGACTTACTAATGCTACCTGTTAAATTCACCATGTAATTACCCACAAATAACAAGTAGGTCATGTTGAGTACTAGGCCATATATAGTGAGATCCAATTATTTTATTTATTACTTATTTATCTTACAATATTTATCCTTTTTTTATAACATTAATAATGATAAAGGTGAAAAGGGAAATATTATTGAAATTATATAGCAATAATGTTTTCATTTTTTATTTGTAAAATTTTACAAATCGCTCTTAACAAAACATCCTTTGCAGAAGTTAAACTTATATTTTTAGTTTTTGTTTGTTTGATTTTTTTCGAAAACGAAATTGCTTACGATGTGACGCTATGAAAAGAACGATTTTGCTGAAATATTTAAAAATTTAACTAAATCTGTGAAAATAATTTTGATCATCAAAATAATTATTTAGAAAATTATTTAGAAGAGCATAATGAGTAGTGTTCTAAAAAGTTTTGATATTCTAGCAACATTCTATGTAATTCTAATTTTTTTGATAGTTTAACAAAATTACATTGTTAAAAATAAAATGTTAATTTTAATTTAAAGACGTTGGACTTTCTGAGACAGAAAAATTAATATTTTATTTTTAATAGTGTATTTTCAAATCTGTATCTATCTAATTAAATTTTTAAAAACTTCAATAAAATGTTCTTTTCGCGTATCGATGGAGAACGATTTGGCGCCATAACTCAGATTTTTAATAATGGACTTGTTTGGTTTTCGTAGAAAATCCTTCCATATAACAAAAATTTATTCTACATAGTATTCTTATTTCATAGCGTTTATTATACTTGTTACAAGTCCAGGATAATTTACAATAATTAAAGCTCGCAAGAGCATTAATCACTAACGAGAAAGGAAATGGTCACATTGATTCCAATACCACTTTTAAGACAACTTTTCATACCCGTCAGTATCTTTACACAGGCTCGAAGATTGATTGACGTATCGTCCCTCCTGGCAATCTTGCCGCAACATTATATTTCCTCCTCGGCACGCTCATTACTTTCCTAACGAGGAAACCGATTTTACCCACAAAAATCCACCTCCCGACGGTTCCGCGCTCCGACGATTGACATTGGCGGCCACGTTTCTGCGGCGCATCAACGCCGCCGCACGACAACCACCGACAGGAACAACAACCAGCACGATATATATCCGCGGAACACGCAACGAGCGCAGCGGGCAGCCATATTATTACCGTCTTTTCGCAGTCCGCGCCTCTGTAATTATGATTTTATTTTTATGGACATAAATTATACGGGCCGCCTAGCTGTGTCATTATATGGCATTTTAATTCAAGGCTGTAGACATAATGGTAACCCGCGCCACACGGACTCACTGCTCACCTGCCCGTAGGTGAGAGACGGGACCGGGAGAGAAGGGTACCAGTCGTGGGGCACCGAGGGAGAAGGCCGATGAGCCGATAGTGGGGTACATGGACTTTGCCTCTCGCTCTTAGCCGGTTCCAACATTTTCCTTTCCGTTTTTCTTTTTGTCTTTTTTTTTTTTTTTTAGACATTTTCGAGACTTTTCTCGCGTTGGTCATCTGACATTCATTTTCCGTATCAAGTATTGCAAAATAATGGTGTACATCAAGTAAGTAAAGAAGGACTAAATACGGTCGAGGCTGGAAAGAGAGAAGGAGAGAGAGAAAATCTTAGAATTATATGTAAAATATATATATCTTTCAATTGTACAAATAAACTGCGCGCGGTGAAACTTGAAACATAATCATAAATTAAAGCTGAAATAATAATATCGCAATTGAGTATCAATTTAATCGTAGAACGCTATCGATAAATTTTACTTATAAGGGAGTGAGATCATTGAATATTAATATCTTCTCTCAGTAATCATTAGAAGGTTCAATCTGCTATGTTATATAAAAGTTACTCCAAAAAAAAGTTTGCAAATTGAAATTCTAGTTGAAAATGGATAAGTAAAAAGAAAATTTCTGAATCTATTAATTCTAGTTATAAGAGATAAGACTAGAATTCTGATGATCAGAATTTTCTGATACGTTCATTTTCCACCAGAAATTATTCTCAATATAGCAGACAAACTTTTAAAAATTCCGCTATGTTTCAGTTTGGGTTTCTTGGCAATCAGTATTATAACAGAGAAATGCGTGATAAGCGATTTAAATTTTTAAGCATTTTTGTGTTATTATATATTTTATTTAAGTGTTATGAACAGACATTGAACTACATATTCCATTCATTTCATGATGAACTTGATGATATATGTTTATTCTTATTTTTCACTTAAGTTAATAACTAGATTATTTATGTTCGTATAAAGGTTTATTATAAATATTTTTTTCTATTAAAAATGGAAAATTTTGTTACGTTAATTAAGAGTGTTATATCTTGTAAAATTTACATAATACTGTATCGCTCAATATCGATAATGTTCTGAAGTTAATAATGATGTTAATAAGCATCTTAAAACAAAGAACTTATCAAAATATATTATCCCAGCAAAAAATATTATCCCAGCCATATCTGGTGGTCCTTCTTTACTTATTTGATTTATTCATACATCGGTCTAGTTTAACTTATTATTGTTTAATGGTTCGTACATCGCATACGTGATCGGTCAGTTAATAACTCCAAGATTAGAAGGTTCGTCGGCGATCCCGTTCCGGCCATCTTTCGCAGCTCGGTAGTTTTCTCGCGATGGTTAAGAAAGTACATCGTTCTGCCGCTTCTTTCGTTCTCAAAGTATGTATTCACCGTGTACTCTGCAATTACGTAAGAGTGTATTTGCAACGATTTCACGAAACGATTACGAAACGTTGTGTAAAATAAGGTGCACGATTTTAATCTATATATATTCCTATTAATTCAGTTGCCTCTTTTTCGTTTATGTAATAACTTTGCAAAAGCAAAGTGGAGAAGAAAGAAGGGAAGAAGGCAACTTTTACAGCAATTTCAATCGCGTCTACGTTTCGCCACGTCTCTCGACGTACATACGTGTGAATTCAAAGATAGGTCCCGAAGGTTGATAAGCTAATTGACTATATTTTCTCATTATAATGTTACATGGGATAAACAAGATATAATCTTCGAGCGATGTATCTACTATTTGCGAGGAAACAAAGCTACGCTCCGTCACGCGAACGCACCGAGCGTCAAGAGTTAAACTTTACCGGCAAACCTTCTGATGCGTTTTTACCACAGTCTCGTTAAAAACACACATTTGTACGCGGTGTGCGTGGTATCACGCTCGGCACAGCAGCGTCTGCCTCTCTATTACGATATTACAATGTATGATTTCGCGATATAATTTTTGCTTACATGCACCGTGTATATTCCCTGTCCTTAAATGACAAGCACCCCCCGCCGGCTACGCCCCGAGTCACCCTCTCTCTCTCTCTCTCTCTCTCTCTCTCTCGTTGATAAGTCGTGGCTCTACGTACCTATGTATTTAGCACCGTGCACGTGAGTGATATTCGTCAAACGGCGGCACGGCTATAATTTAACCGCAATTTCACAAACGCGGCGCGCCGAGGACCTGACGATTGCGCCGAATAATTACGTCGGCGGAGCTGTTGTTACGTCGTTACCGTCGGAATTACACTTAATTTGCAGTCATAAGCATACCCAGGCCGCGCGTACTTTGCTTTTGACAATAATTCGCATTTTCTCGGAACGGTCTCGCTACTATCTGTAACAAAGACGGCAGGCGATGGAAATACGGTAATTTCCAGAGGGAGACGTGACTCGACTGCTCGTCAAAATATTTTCTGGTTCGCTTACCGCTGACGCGTAAATACCCACCTATTATCGCCCGGCATGTGCCGCTCAAGCTTACGCGATATCTAGCCCAACACATACTCGCGCATGCCGCGTCGGCGGACTATATCTCTTTCTCCCTTTCTCTCCATGTCTCTCGGCCCGAGTTATAAATTCTCGGATGCGCGTTAACAAGTTCCGATGCCCCCGAAAGGTAGAGAAACTTCGGTCCGGCTGACAGGTTATTCTTTTAATTGGAACAGAACGTAATGGCCATCGCGTTGAAAATGACATCGCGCGCGGAACCCGTCAAACGACAGCGTGACAAAAGACAGGGCAAAATCGGAAGCTCGCCGGCTTTTTGCCGATGAATGGTATGAGGATCAACACGCACGGTAGCCGGTAATACTTGATGTTACGAACGCACGGCAGAGTGGCAAGCTGTCAGCCCGCCGCCGCGCTGTCAGTCTCCTGTCTGGTTGCTGTCTGTCTGTCATTCACTCACTCAACCCACTCATTCGGCTGTCCCATCTCTCCCCGACTTTTTCGGCTCTTCGTCTCTCCGCCTCTCCGCCTCTCCGCCTCGCCCACTATTTCTCTCTTCTGTCTTCTTCTCTTTTTTTCAATCTCTCTCTCTCTCTCTCCCTCCCCCCTCCCCCCCTCCCTCTTTCCTTTTTTTTCCGTGACTGGCGTTCAAACTCGTTGGCCCCGTTACAGCGACGGACGTGCGCGCATCTGCCTGCGAAAATATTTTTTCGGTCCGGAGTGCGAGCGGGCGATACCCACCGCGATGCCCGACGAAATTCATGCCAGATGTAGCTGCTCCGTACGACTCGATGTTTGCACGAAGGAAATCTTTATTAAGTGAGGACGACACCGATATAGTTTGAGAAGAGTTGAGATACACTCCGCCCAAAAATATTTACCCATCCTGGAATGTTATCATTTCATGGAATATGTATCATTTTTATACATCTAAATTTTGTTCTAATTATTATATATTCTTTACATATAGCTTGTTGTTTGATAAAAAATGGCACAATTCAGGAATTAGCACTTTTGACACATGACAGGAAATCATTTCTAAAGACATATATTTTTTGTTGGAGAAAACGATACAATTGTAATTTCTCTCAATTTTATTGCTGGAGAATAGAATTGTCGTTTGTTCTCTAATCAAGGTTTCAACGATTGTTTACAGAAAAATGATCTTTTTGAATTACATATTGTAAAACATTGCGTGATACTGAAACAGTTATAGAAAAACGTATTCCTATTTGGAATTATGCCATTTTTCTTTGAAAGTTTCTTTAGTGTATTTTAATTGGTTTTATTTATACTAGAAATACGTCTTATTTTAAGTTATGACATCGTTCTGTATATTTAAGAAATAAAAGTTATAGGGAATAGTTCTCATCGCATATGTTTAAAAAAATAAAATATTTTAATTGAGATTTCTTTTAAACTTGAAATTTAAAGATATGAGTTTTCTTCAAATGTTATGATTTAAATATGACATTCTCGAAATACACAACTCTGATGAATGGATGAAATTTATACTACACTAAGATTGCAGTATTCGAATTTTGGAAACTTATGACATAGTTTTAAAAAAACGTATTCGTTATAAATAAATAATTAATTAAAAAATAATTTAAAACAATTTTATTTATTATAGTTCTAAAGTACTTTTAATACCATTCAATTTTCATTCTGAAAAATTTTTTTTTATCTCTTACAGTTCCGGCGATATTCGCTTCGAAAGAGAAAAACCGATTTTTTTCTAAAGAGTGTTTCACTCTCTAAAAGTGCGTATAAAAAGGGCATGTATAAAAAAATACGTATCGCTTATTTTTATTTAAAGAATAACATATTAAAAGCTCATTAAAATCGGATGGGAATAGCTAGATCCCTTTTCTTGTAAGTCAGTAAGCCAAATGTAAAAATTCTCCAATTAAGAAAAAATATAATTTGATCGGTAACGAGAAAGTGAATGCATATGCAGAACAGACGTCACTTACATGCAGAGTCACATTCACTCGAACCAAAAACGCTCGAGGCTCATGTTTCAAGACGAATAAAAAAAAATTGACTTTGCTCACGTAACATAAAACTCGTTTCATTAAAAAGTAATATGACTATTGGACGCCTCGAACGGAATGAGACCGATATATTGTGAAAGAATCGAAAGAATTTCTCTTCTCACGCGAGACCGTCCTTAAAACAGTCATCTCAAAATCCATACCTTGCAGCGAGAAACAACATGACAGGTCCATATATAACATATATCCGGCATAATGTCGGTTATAAACTGAAGGAGGCGCGAACGCAACGTCGGGGACAATGAACGAGCTTATCCGCGTTGCTATAAAATATTCTCTATGTGCCGCGTGTCCACGCAGCCGTAAAACGCGAGCATCCGTTTAATGATAAATTAGGGACGACGCGACGCGTCGGGTACCGAGCGAATATGTCCAACCGTGTGTACACCGTTCTCTTTTCCTTCTCTCTCTCTCTCTCTCTCTCTCTCTTTTTTATCGCGACAGAATACCGAACGATTTAACTCGCAGTTGTTTGCATATCCGGTTTATGTTTCAATCTAGTTCCATCAATATGAATAAACACCGGTACGCGCGAAGGTAGCACGACGCGCGGGCATTAATATGTATTGGCAATAAATCGATATCGATAATTAAAATCTGTGCCCGGCCGGGGCTGGTGGGGTCCTTGGGAGTGCGAGCGCGTTTATATAAAAGTTCAATTTGTTATATGTAACTGCACGAGATGACTATAAATATTGCGTTACCCTTTTTAACCGGGATCGTAAATCCGCGTGATTTATGCACCAGCCGTCTGAGAGAGCCAAAGGGGTCGGAGATGG